GGAAGCCATCTTTCTACCTTTGTGCCTTCAGGCTTCAGGCCTGCCACAAATTCTCCTGTGGGAAAATGGGAGGGGGGATTGTATAGAGTGAAGAGGATATGTAGTCAAAATAAAATTCTTTATAGAAAGTCAAGGCCGTTGTGCCTTGCAGCTTTGTGAAAAAGAATGAGGAGGTGTCTTCTGTTTTGGAGGGTACCTGATTGACCATGTGGTGGACATGTGGGTGCAGGGGGAAGGGACTTGGACTTTCTTTTGGGTGTGGAAAACCAGGAAGCTCTCAGATTCGAGTTTTCCCAGATGTGCCAATATGACATCTCTAATAAAAGTTAGCTGTGAGGAACTTCAAGCCTTGGAGTTTGATTTCATTGGGGTTGTTATTTGGAACCCTGACATTAACCCAAATCCCCTTTCAACCTAAGGCAGCTCCCCCGAGCTTCGGGATGCTGTCCAGGGTCCTGAGCCCCAAGCGTCGACCCGATACCAGGCGGTGCGAAGACTCAGGGAAGATTGACACTCAATCTGTAAATCAAGCTCAATATGTCCATATTTCATGATCATATCTAGTTTCTGCTGTCATAAAGATTTAGTTGACCATAGCAGTTTTTTGAATAGCCAAGCTGAATAACCTCATTTATGCTAGCGTAATAATGGTCTTCCCTTGTGTACTCTCATTGTGAAACCTTCTGACTGTGTACAGCAATTGATAAACAAAGCTGCTTTGGCTTTTGGAAAAAGCCATTTGTAACTGCTTTCATGCTGCCCTTGCCAAATTGAACTGGATTCCGTTTTTTTAGAGAACAGGTGCCCTCATTACTAAAACCACTTAGCCCCAGTGGCACTAAATGGACTTCTTTGCGCACCCCCCCAAAAAAAAGGATGCAGAGAAGTTGTTGTTTCTAGTTAATGGAAGGGGTGTGTGGAAGTGCTGGGCAACACCGGTGTGTGTGTGTGTGTGTATGTGTGTATCCTATAGTAAGATCAACATTTGGCTTCCATCTAGGGAGCTAGAAAAGGAGATCATAAGTACACTCTGCTGATATTTTTTCTTCTTAGGGGTTAAAGCTTATATCAAAAAGAACTATACATGTATGATTCTGTTCTACATCTAGCAAAGAAGTAGTAGCTGGTATAAGAAACATCACCACCAACAATAACAGGTTTACCAATAATCAAGCAGATCAATTATTTTTACTCCGGAGTTTGTAGCAGGGGTGAAATCTACTTACCTTCCTACCAGTTCAGAAGTGCACGCGCCCCACAGGCATGCTCGCTTCACTCATGCACGTGCTCACTTTGCTCGCTTTGCTAGTTTCACTCGTGTGTGCATGCATCACATGCATGCATGGACCCTCTGCACATGTGCAGACCCTTCTGCGCATGTGCAGAGGGTAAAAAACAGATTACTTCCTGGTTAAAACTAGGAAGTAATGATGAGTGGGTGGGTGGGCGGAGCCTCGCGCTGCCATTGCTACCGGTTCTCCAAACCACCTGCCGCCATCGCTACCAGTTCGGCCGAACCACTCTGAAACAGTAGCATTTCACCCCTGGTTCGTAGCTATTTGCATGTCTGCTCTTGGTTTTTTTAAATAACATCTCTCTCCTTTACAAACCTAAGAGCCCAAACATGAAACTGCAATTATTTAGATTAACTCACTTACATGCACACTCTTCTTATTTTTTAAAACATTCATTAATAATATTGGATTCTTAATCCATGGTTGGCCTAATAAACAAAGCTGCGGTGACATTTACTGGGGAATAAACCATGAGTTTGAGTGTGTGTGAGAGAGAGGAACAGAGAGAACACTTAATATTTTCTTTACTCAACTATTTTTCTTGGGAATTTTTCCTTTCCCAACCGTTGCTTAGCAGTTCTGGCTCTGAGCTTCTAGGAAAAAATTCTTAGCACCACACACTCAAAAGACATTGTGCAACATCTCCGGTTATTTCTCCCATAAAATATATTTGTTTTCTGGAAAGCCCATTAGGGAAGAAGTAGAAAATGATGACTAATGATGAACCATGGAGTAGGATATTAAGATCTTTCAAAATATCTACAAACAAAATAGAGTATTAGTAATAATGAAAAGGCCTGATTAAATCAAATGGAGAAGCAAATGGGGGTCAGAATTGGGATGAAAAGAAGGAAAAATATTGTTCACTATTTCTTTTCCACTACAAATGCCCACAGTGATTCAAAATCCCATGTTTGTTGCTGCAAAATCTATCCACATCCATAAAAATACAAACCGAAGGAAATAGATTATAATGATGTGTGTAACCCAAAACTTTAGAGCAAATCACTTCGCTCTCAGGCTACTCATTATTTGGATCTTGTACAATGAAACTGCCTCTTTCTTTCTGGGTGAGTCAACATCCCCATTTTTTAAAAAATCAAGTTTTAATCATACAATTCTGAGAATAGAGAGGAGGGAAGCTGCTTTACCACAGCAATGCAGGGCTTTACCAGGTTTAATAAGCAATATAACTTTTGGGTTATCTTCTTCCTAATGGCACTGTGATCATATAGTGTTGTTGGTTGCTCTAACCCACATCGGCCATCAAGGTTAATAAGAGGGTCATGAAAACAGCAATTATTTAGGGTACCAAAATAGCTGGAGCTTGCTTGGTTTTTACAATATTTTACAGCTACTAAAGAGTCGTGGTGGCACAGTGGTTAGAATGCAGTATTGCAGGCTACTTCTGCTGACTGCCGGCTGCTTGCAATTTGGCAGTTCGAATCTCACCAGGCTCAACGTTGACTCAGCCTTCCATCCATCCAAGATCAGTAAAATAAGAACCCAGATTGTTGGAGGCAATATGCTCACTCTGTAAACCGCTTAGAGAGGGCTGTAAAGCACTGTGAAGCAGTATGTAAGTTTAAGTGCTACTGCTACTGCTATTTGTTTATTTGATTTGAGGGGCTGCTCATTTTGCTGCAGTGACTCAAGATGGCTAACCAGACATAAAAGGCAATCCCAAAATAAATAAATAAAAAATAGGACATAAACCACTACCGGTTCTGAGTAGTTCAGAGAACTAGTAGTGGAAATTTTGAGTAGTTCGGAGGACCAAAAATGCCACCTCTGGCTGCCCCCAGAGTGTGGAGGGAACGGGGATTTTGCAGTATCCTTCCCCTGGAGTGGGGTCAGGGGTGAAATCCAGCAGGTTCTGACAGATTCTGGAGAATCGGTAGTGGAAATTTTGAGCAGTTCGGAGAACCGGTACCAAAAATTTTGAGTAGTTTGGAGAACTGGCAAATACCATGTCTGGCTGGCCCCAGAGTGGAGTGGGAATGGAGATTTTGCAATATCCTTCCTCCAAGAGTGGGGAGGGAATGGGGATTTTGCAGTATCCTTCCCCTGGAGTGGGATGGGAATGGGGATTTTGCAGTATCCTTCTCCTGGAGTGGGGTGGGAATGGAGATTTTGCAGTATCCTTCCCCTGCCGCGCCCACCAAGTCACACCCACCAAGCCACACCACGCCCACCAAGACATGCCCACAGAACTGATAGTAAAAAAATTTGGATTTCATCACTGAGTGGGATGGAATGGGGATTTTGCAGTATCCTTTCCCTAGATTGGGGTGGGAATGGAGATTTTGCAGTATCCTTCCCCTGCCATGCCCACCAAGCCACACCCACCAAGCCATGCTCACAGAACCGGTAGTAAAAAAATTTGAATTTCACCACTGCATAAACCTCTACAAAAACAGCTGAGGTTAAAAACCAATTTACAATAAACACAGATTTACAACCACGCAGGCTCTAAATCCCAAAGACTTGGATTTTTTTTCGGACTTGTACACTTAAACCTGAATATAATGTATGAATCCAATATAAATTAATTTTAAAAGCAAACTGTATACCTGAGGGTTACAGTATGCCATGAAGCCTGTCTGGGAATGCACTGAAATTCTCAAATGAACTGATCACTCAAAAAGTGTTTGGGGAATCAATTCTTCTTCAGTCACAATGCTGATGGTTGTGATGGTTTTTAAAAAGGAATAAATCCACTGAATTCCTTAGCAATTCATTTCTAATTGTTCTGATGGTCACAGCCCTAGAAGTTTTAGAAAAAAAATACCTTTATGATAGCATCCATTCTCTGGAATGCATTCTTGCTTTAATGCCTTGCAAAACTTGCAAAATGTGTAATGGGGTCCAGGAAGTGTAGATTCAATAGCAAAGGATGGGTAATGATAGATATGGAAAGATTAACAATAGCTATTATTTTAAGGGTTGTGAAGTCAATCACAGGAAGCAAAAAGAACAGCAAGCCTTGATATACGTTAAAATCAGCAAATGTATTATGGATAAATGTTTATGGATCACTATCCATAATCTTGTATAATCAGTTAAGGTGACCAACTTTTTTACAATAAGAAGGAGGACACAAATAAATTGAAGAAAAAAAAATCGTAAATAAGTAAACAAAGCCACTTGCGTGTGGCGCACTCTCTCAAAACAATTCTCCTGTGCAGAGCACATGCATCTCATAATCGCGTCTCGCTACACTGTACCGAGCCTTGACGAATCGTCATGTCAAATACAAATACGTCACATCACACGCAACGGATCGGTTCGGCATCGATCGAATACGGAGATTTACAGATTAGTCTTCAAATATTGAAAAGGAGGACATGTAGGAGGACACTTTTCGAGAGAGGACAGAACTTACAAAAGAAGGACTGTCCTCCTAAAGCGATTTACAGAGTCAAGATTATTAAGGTTACCAATTGTCCTCCTAAGGAGGACAATTGGTAACTGAAATGTATTAGCTTGATCAATGACGATGGACAATGTGAAGATCATGTAATTAACCGTTTATTAACAACAGCTGTGCTAAGTGCCACAGTTATAACTGAAACTGCTTGGAACTCTGACAGCTCTTATCTAGCCAGCTGTCAGGTGGTTTAACCGATCAACGAACAGAACGTTACTTTAACCAATCAACGAACAGAATGTTACTTCCTACTTCAGCAGACTTAATACATTGCACCAACCTTAATAATCTTGACTCTGTAAATCGCTTAGAGGGGGCTGTAAAGCACTGTGAAGCGGTATATAAGTGTAAGGGCTATTGCTGTAAGTACTACCTTCACATGTGGGCATTGGAAATATCATAATTTTATGTTTTATCTATTTTATTTATTTATCAAAATTATATAACCACTCGTCTCCCTGAAGATCACTTGCAGCTGTACACAATTTATAAAAATATAAAAACAGCAAATACATTAAAAAAAAACACCATAGTAATAAATTTCCTAAAACTAAAATTACAATCAAAGTGAAGGGAGAGTTAAGAATTGCCTCAGTAACGAAGCCATCTAGATAAATATCTGGTTCCAATGGCAGCCCCAGGCCTGGTCATAAGTACTTTGTTAGAAATCATTTTAATGAAACAGAAAATCCCTAGTTCAATTGCTAACTCTGTTTGTATTCAGTTTGTTGAGTAAGGCACACGGGATTGGGTCTGCAAACATACCAAGCCATAAACCAAGTAGGATTGATGCAACGTGTCAGGCCAAAACTAACCAGAACACAATGGGATTTAGCACAGTGTGAGAATCAGGCCTCTACATGGTCAGTCGTGTAGATGGAAATACAGCAATGTAACAATATTGTTTGTTCAATTCACAATGAATGTGAATTGTGCAATGAGTAACCAACATTAGATTAAATAGAATAAACCCTCACTGCTTGTAATGTTAATAGGATTGCAATGATTACAATTATTTACATAAAGTGTACACAATTTGAGGCCTGGGGTCTCCAGAGCCTCTCTAGCAATGGCTGCCAAATTTAAAGTTTAATGTGAGAGAAAAATAAGTGGATTATATAAGTACACAATTATCATATTAACCGTAAAAATCTATTCCTGCTGACTGATGTAGATGGACATGTAATAACACAAGTTTCATTGTTTGCAATGATTTCAAGAAAGATACAAAATGCAGATGTTGACAGATAGTGTTATTAGTTTTAGACGGACTGAATTTAGTTGATATGAACTGTTAGAATTTTACATGAGTTTTGCTAAATGCTAAAATAAAACCTGTTTACTTTGCAAATAAATGTATTACTGATAATAATATTAACTGTTAATGACTTAATATGCCATATAATAGAGCTAATGTGGTTACTTGCTTGTTCTGTTCCATTCTTGAAATGCAACCTTACCATGCCATTCAAAAATCAAATGGGCCGTCCAGCTAGAAAAAGGTGACATGTTGCTGATTCATTCAGAGAAGTACAGCAAGAGATCTTCTCACATTCTATTACTTGCTTGGTTTCTGAAACATCCTTACATCTGTCAAACATCCTTGAGCCAAGGGCAATGTCTGGAGACCCCAACCATGTGGTTTTCTCAGCGGCATTGTGGACCTAGCCTTTTGACTTAGCCATTTTCCAAGGTATTCTTCTGACTTCCCAATATCGTTTGTCAAGTAATCATTTTCAATCTCTATTGATTACAAAAATCTCCAGCAGCAAAAGTGTTAATTATACAACTACCCAGAGCTAAGCCAGTTACCCCAAATACTACCTTACTAGCTTTTCAAAGTTATTATGAGGCCCAGAAAGAGGAAAGGGTTAGGAACAGAAAGAGTTTGGAGGGACAAACCCAGCAAGTGGTATCTGAAACTTCCATTAACTTTGCTGTTGCATTCTTTGCAGAGTTAATTACAAATCAGTTTAATTGTCCTTTCACTCAATAACTTCCTAATCTCTCCAAGATTTACTACTCAGCAGGCTGCAGAGTTATATTTTATCACTTCTGGTTCCATTAGCCACATAGGGTTTGCTTGAAACCTGCTTCCTCCTTTTCCCTTTAGTTTTAATAATTACATTGATTCGAACTGACTCCAGGAGAGACTCCATTTGGAGCGCTCCTCATCTTCCCTCCCTTTCAGTCTGGTTCTCACACTGCAAGGTCACACGATGGCAGCTTCTGTGCCTCTGTAGTTTGCCTTCCAGTCACACCATGACAAATTGTGCAGTGAAACATGATTGTGCAAAGGACAAGGAAAAAAGTGATGGGAGAGGGAGATTGCTACTGATGAAAGAAAAATGGTATCCTACTAAAAAGTAAAAGTAAAAAAAAAAAAGCTTCTTGACAAATTAAAAAATTAATTATGGAATCTAGAAAATCTTACTTACGTGGCCCCAAATAAAAATAGTTCTGGTGGCATTTTCCACCTAACAAATTTATTAAAAGTGCGTCAGTGCGTCCCAGCACTGACAGTATAAACATTTATGAGCTAGGTCACTGATGGTTAACCTTTTTGGTGCCGAGTGCAAAAAACGCTTGTGGGGGCGTGTGAATGCACACGTGCTGGGGGGCTGGAATGCACCTGCCCATGTCAGAACCCTCAAAATGCAACGTGAGCCCCCCCCCATGCATGCACCCCACCCCACCCCCGTTTTGGCTTCCAGGTTGGTGCAGGAGGCTTTCCAGGCCCAAAATGGGGCATGGGGAAGCCCCATTTTGGCCCCGGAAAGCCTCCTGCACCAACCTGTACCACCCCATGCATGCACCTTGCCCCCCGCACATGCATGTGTACGTCCCCCCATGCACCCCTCCCCCACGCATGTGCAGCAGAGACCCGAAGACCAGCTTGCTGGTGGGAGATGCACACACACACGTGGTGGAGCTGGGCTGCGGCGACGGCTGGCATCCCCGCAGAGAGAGCTCTGCATGCCACCTGTGCCACATGTGCCATAGGTTCACCATCACACAGCTAGGTTCACTTCATTGAATGGCTAGATTGTTTATATGGATGCAGATTACATGTAAGAGAGGTTACAAGTACGTTATCAATTAATAATTGTGTATTAAAAACCCACTGTGTTTGTTGAGATTGTGTTTGTTGACCTTCTGAGATTGCCCAGAACCATTTGTTGGTTTCTTGCTCAACGGGGCTGTTTAAGAGCCACTTTTTTAAAAGATTGTTTTGAAGTCTTCTATGGAGGTGTCCTGGTTGAAATGCTCTCATGTTGCTTTATCCTTGTTTTGAGACCTGATGATAAATGTGTCTCCATTAATTATTTTGACAACCATTCATGGAAAACCTGAAATCTAAGAATGAATTCATTCTGACTTGAAAAAGAGATGTTTCCATGCTACGAGCTTCAAGTTATCAATCATGGAATGTTTGTGTAGTAAAACACATATGAACAACATATACAACACTAGTTCCTGAATATCTGCCTAGAGGTTGGTGTTGGCGGGAGAAGTGCTTTTACTTTTCTTGACACAGCTTTCCCCATAAGGTAGTATATGGTTTTGAAGGTCTAGAAACAGCTGTCTTTTTTTGGTTCTGTCACCAGTAATGTTGGTCTTCTTCCATCCTTAGGAGAATGAATTGTCCTGAATAGAATTTTTTCAGGAATACCAAAAATTTCATACCCTTTCACAGGTTGTCTGTGTACATATATACTCCATTTCCAAGTGGCTGCAAGGGAAGGCACCTAAGAGGACATTTTCCATTGAGTTTTTTCAGACTAACCAAAAGCCAGGGAGATTTCAGAGTGATGGAAAGATGTACAAAACAAAGGAATCTCACCGTCACTAGTACCTCCACGTTTCCCACAAGCTAATAAGCTCAACATATTATCAAGGGACATTCAAAATATATCTGCCTACAATCTGATAATAAGGTAAAAAACTAAAAACCTTATCTTGCAGAGGGAGAAAGTTTCTAACAAACTGAAAGATATATTTTGGCACAGTATTAATGTAGAGTCATTTGGACACTCATCAGATTTCCAGATGACACAAAACCTGGGGTGGGTGGGACTGCTAACATCTCAAAGAAAGACTCAAAGTTGAAAGCCACCTTGATAGACTTCACAATTGAACCCTTTCCAACAGTACACAGTTTAGATAGGAAAAAACAGATACAGATCTGTTACCAGAGATATGAGGTAAGTGATATTTGGCTTGGTAGTAAAACTTGTGAGGAAGACTTGGATGTCTTTATAAACCGCAGAATAAACACAAATCAGAAATATGCTGCAGCTGCCAAATGAGCCAATGCAATGGGGTAGATCAACAGAAATATAGTATCACAGGAAGTCATAGTTCTGCTCTTTGCTGCACTGGTGAGATGAAATCTGGAGCACTGTGTTAGTTCTGATTGCTTCCATACATGAAGGATAATATGATTCTAGAAAGAGCACAGAGAAGAGATCAAAAATGGAAGCTTGGAGGCTAAATCTTATGAAGAATGGTTAAATGAAACGGATAAGTTTTGCTCAAAGAAGAGAAGCCTCAGAGGCAGGGGTGAAATGGTACTGCTTCGGTACCGATGCGATGGGTAGGTAGCGATGGCAGCGCGAGGCTTCGCCCACCCACCCGGTCATCACTACTTCCTGGTTTTAACCAGGAAGTAACCTGTTTTTTTACCCTCTGCGCATGCCCAGAAGGATTTGCGCATGTGCAGAGGGACCATGCGTGCACTTCCGAACCGGTAGAGAAGGTAAGTAGATTTCACCCCTGCTCAGAGGGGATATAACAGAAGTGTTTCAATATTTGGAGGGCCGTCACAGCAAAGAAGGGATGGATTTATTCTCCAAAGTGTCCATCATTTTTTGGGGGGGGGGAGAATAGATGGAATGTTTATAGCAGAAGTTTCAAATCTGTATCAAGGAAAAATTTCCTTCCTGCTAGAATAATGGAGGTTTTTAAGCAAAGGTTGGGCAGCTATTTGTGTGATATGAGGATTTTTGACCAGGGCTGAGATAGACTAGAAGACTTCCAACCTCTCTTCCAGCCCTTTAGGGACTATTCCAAATTGCAACAGCACTGAAAGAAGTGACTTATGACCAGTCTTCACACTTATGACCATCACAGCATCCTCATGTTAATATGATCAGATTATGGGTACTTGGCAACCAGCATGTACTTATGATGGTTGCAGCATCTTGCAGTATTGTCATCACCACTTATCAATTTAAACATTTTTATAGGTTATAAGATAATATAAAGTACAAAAGTAAATAGGAAATCACAGTTGGGGGGAGGGAGAGAGAAAGGTGAGGAGGGACTGGGGAAAAGAAAAGAAGAAACGTTGAATTCCAACTCCCTTTGTTGCAGTAAAATAAAGCATTAACATCAAACCACAACTTTTTGTTTTTCCATAATAATACAAACTAGACATTTCTATAAAAACATATCAATCTAATCGGTAAAAATCAAAGTTTCAATTTTTTTTCTACTTCAAGCACAAAGTTCAGAAGCGGTCTCCCTGTGGAAACAAAAGTACTTATATTCTTTCCTTTAACCCAAACAGTCAGTTTAGCCATTTCTGCCAACTCCATCAGCTTCTGTAGCCATTCGTCCATAGTGGGAATCGAAATGTCCTTCCATTTTTGTGCATACAATAGTCTTGTTGCTATCAACATATGTAAGATCAAAGTTCCAGGGTTTTTTTCTCCAAGTCTTTTTCCATTAAACCCAAAAGAAACGTTTCTTGTTTCATTTTTATTTTTGTTTTAATAATTTATTGTATTATAATATGAATCTTACTCCAAAATTTCTTTGTTTTATCACATGTCTACCATAAATGATAAAAAGTTCCTTCTTTGCTTTTACACTTCCAACATTCATTTGAAATACCTTTATACATTCTAGATAACTTATCCAGTGTTAAATACCAGCGATACATCATCTTATAAAAATTTTCTTTTAAATTATAATTTAGTGTAAGTTCTAAACCTTCAGCCACATATTTTCCCATTTATGGGAAAAACCATTTATGACCTGGATTCACTTAACAACCATACAATTCACTTAACAACTGCAGTAAAAAAACTGTGGCCAAAAAAAAAAAAAAAGAGGACTAGCTGTATATCCCTAGATCTTTTTATTTGATAAAATATTTGCTTTTGCTTTTCTTTCATTCTGCCTTTTAACTTATCTTTTAATTTATTTATTTTTTTGCTTTATCTCTTTTGCACACGGACGATCCTAAAAGTGCTAATTGAAGAGTAATGTAGAAATTTGTTAACTAATCACAAATGAGTAATTTTGCTGCAGCTATTGCATTTTCTGTAACATAGAAAAGGAAGTAAGGGACATTATGGAGAAGCCCATTTTTTCCTCTCTCTTTTTTTTTTTCTTTGCAGACTGCTGACTAAGGACAGGATAGGATGAAAAACGAACAGTAAGTTTGCTTTCTACTCCTTATCCATAATGTGATGTGCTGAAGGGGAAGAGTTGATGTTTATTAGCACAGATTGCCAGTTTTTAAATTTTTCTTGGTTTTAACCCAAACAGGCTCCTCACCAAGACAAACATACTTTGATGTAATGCAGTTGTGACTAATAGCATTTACATGAAGCTTCCCATTTCTGCTTCGGAAGAGAAAAGAAAACCTTGAAAATATTCCAGGGGAAACACTGTGTGCTCTAAAGTTCCTGATGGCTCCTGAGATACAGGGATCCAGGGCAGACCACTTCGCCGAATGTACCTTAAATAAATATGTCCCACAACTGCGGGACAAAACTGACATTCAGATCATAGTGTCACTGTGCCTTTGGCACATAAGCAATGGAAAGAGGAAAAAAATACATTTCTGTTCTCTTCCTCATACATTCCCAAGTACAATAGGAGACTCATTATTTAGCTTTTCAAGTATAGTGGGGGAGGGGCAGCCTGGACCCTCAGGACTTGAACTTGCCATTTTTTATGACCCCCTAAAGACCCTTCTGGCTTTACTGCCAAATTCCAAAGACAGAACTGAAAAATATTAGTAGCATGGTTTGCTGCTATGGCAAGGCAGGAAACATAAAAACTGTAGCATACTCCCTCAAAAAGACTTAATTTGTTTTTTTTTTTAAAGGCCTTTGCTTGAACCTTGGAAAATCTTGACATACATGAGATATTGCCTCATGCAGTGCTTCTCTACACATCACTCCAAAGATTGCCCATCTCGGTTCCTTAGGATGTTGAAGCATGCCTCCTAACATTCAGTATGATCCTAATTCATCTGGTCATGATGAGGTGCTACATTTTCATATCTTCACCAGAATCTTCACACCACACCATACCCATCAGTCGTCACCCAGGTTAAGAAGGACTGCAGTAATTACTATTCTTGGTTAGGGTGCTCAACAATAAGACAATGGGAATCCCTGTTCCTGAGGCAGCCAGTGGCACAAGCAAATGTCTGCATTGTACAGCGATCCATTGGATAGCCACATGGAATATCAGAGGAATGAGTCAAGGTAAATTAGACATTGTCAAACAAGAGGTAATCAGGTTGGAAATTGTATCCTACAATGAGCTACACTGGTTGGACAATGGCTTTTTCCAGTCTGAGGATTTCACTGTCTATTATTCAGGACATGATACCAGGAAAACAAATGGAGTGGCATTTATTGTAAGCAAGAAATTTGCTAGAGCAGTGAAAGGCTTCTCAACTGTCAATGATCAAATTATGACCATCAGAATTCATGCCAAGCCCCTCAATATCACAATTATGGATAAGATCATCATCATTTTAACTAGTGTTTCAAAGTGGCTCCCTTAATAACTTTTTGGAGTGTAATTTTCATTATATTCTTCTTGGCACATCTATTGGGTACCACAGAATTCTGCTTAACAGGCCAACTTTATAAAGAAAGCTGCTTAAAATAAATCTGAATTAAACTCTAAAGTTTGCATCTTGTGCAACCCTAAGTAATATGCTTTCACATTGAAGTTCTATAGTGCAACAGAAGCTTATCATTTTACAATTCTTTTGAAATTAAAAAAGAGGTGCAGTTTTTTTTTAAAAAAAGTAGCAATAATAAAGTGTTATTTATCTATGTTACATACTTCTAGAGTTGGAAAGATTTTAGCTGCATTTGAAATGCATGAATGCATGCGTATTTTTAAGTTACTATTGGATTTTGAGCAAGGATCTTAGATTTCATGGCTTATCTCTGTTGCAATATTTTCAGGATCAGACTCAATAAGATCAATAAGAGTTAAGATTTAACTATATATTCTTTTATTTACATTAGGCATTCTATATTCACTGAATATTCACAGATAGAAGCAAAGGAAAAGGTGTGGGCAGCTCCTTATATATACAATGGGTGGAGCTATGAGTGGGAGTGGTGAATTATGAATACATTAAGAAGTGAAGAATAAGTTAACCCCTGATACCCTGTCTGTACACTATTTACACATTGGAGAATAAGGCATTTATATCTGACAAATCCCCCTCTAAATGCCGATTCGTTATACAACACCAGTTACATTCAGATTCAGGACAATACAAAACATACAACTTAGAGGTTAAGTATTTATGCTGTTTAGAAGGTAAAGGCTTTGTTAATATATCAGCTAATTGTTCTGAAGTGTCGCAATGCACTGCTTTAATAAATTCATCCTGAGATAATTGTCTCACATGTTTAAATTTTATATCTATATGTCTGGACCTTTGTCCAATGGCATCAGATCTAGATATTTCAATGGCTGCTTTATTGTCTTCATGCATAACAAAAGGCAGAGCAGGTTTTTTCCAGACATCTGAAATTAAATCATTAAACCATACAAGGTTATTTGCGGCCTTGGATAAACAAACATATTCCGCTTCTGTTGTTGAAGTAGCCACTAGTTCTTGTTTACCAGTGTACCAGTAAACTGGACAGTCATTTAAGAGAAATACATAACCAGATGTGCTTTTTCTGCATGAGGTGTCTCCAGCCCAATCTGCGTCTGCATAACACGTAAGCTTTGGTTCTTTAATATCATTAGGCTCTAACATTAAACAAAAGTCCAGTGTACTTTTTAAATATCTTAAAATTCTTTTAACAGCTTCCCAGTGGTACATTGTTGGTTTGCTGACATGCCTAGATAATAAATTGAGTGGTAAGGCGATATCTGGTCTAGTCCAATTAGATATGTAAAGGAGTGAACCTATGATTGATCTATAGAATGTATTGTCCTTGAACTCGGGAGAAGATTCATCAGAATTTCTTAGAAAGTCAGTTTGCATAGGGGTATCACAAGGTTTGGCATTGTTTAAGTTGCATTTATTTAAAAGATCTATGATCTTATCTCTCTGGGTAAGTTTGAATCCCCTTTTTGTCTTATTAATTTGGACACCAAAGTATTTGTTTACCTTGCCTAAAGATTTCAATGAGAAATGTTCATTTAGTTTAGTTACAAAGTTTCTCTTCTTTCTTTATGTTTTCCTATGTATAAAATGTCATCCACATAAATCAATACAAATTCAATGTAATCATCACCCCTCTTGACAAAGAAACAATTATCAGCAGTGGTAGCGTTGAAGTCCATGGTCTTAAGTACTTTTACTAAACAATCATACCACCGTTTACCAGATTGTTTTAGCCCGTATAAACTCTTGTTTAACAACCAAGTCTCATTTCTGTTTGTGTATGGACTATGAGGTGCTCTCACGTATATTTCTTTATCTAATTTTGCGTGTAGGTACGCAGTCTGTATGTCATATTGGAATACATCTAGATTGAGTGCTGAAGCTACCACTAGAGCTGTTTTGACACTCTCTGTTCTTACAGTGGGGGAATACGTGTCAGTATAGTCCTCTGGATATTTCTGTGCATAACCCTGTGCAACCAATCTAGCTTTGTATAGAGTATTTCCTCCCTCTAAATTCTTAATTTTATATATCCATCTGGTACCAATAATTGTCTTATCTTTAGGTGCAGATGCAGGTGTAAATACATTTAGTCCTTGCAAACTTTCCATCTCTTTCTTCATTGCTAATTCCCATTTTTCTTTTTCTTCGTGAGGAAGTTTTAACACTTCCTCGTATGTATTGGGTGTTGTTGGTTCACCATTCATATGCATTACATAATCCTTGTATTTATTTGGCATTTGATTTCTGGTGTTTCTAATGATTTTCTCAGGTTTACTATCGTTATCATGCAAATATCTTGCTTCCTTTTTTGTTAGTGTGTCTGTCTTTATTTTGAGTTGGCTATTTGTCCAAGTTTTGGTTTTGTTTTTATATTTGTTGATATTTTGTTTTTCTATAGTCCCTTTCTCATGAGATTTCGTATCTTCATGTTTATTTGGGAATATCTCATTAAGATGTAATTTAGACCAGTTAGCTTGTTCATGGAACACAGCTGTTCTGGAGACTATAAATTTGTTGTTACTATCAATGAATCTGTATCCTTTAGTGCCAGTCTCATATCCCATAAATCTGAGTCTCCTGGACACATTTTCTCCCTTTCTTCTTAATTGTTTAGGTATGTGTACGTCTGCTGTGACTCCAAATATATGCATGTGTGCTAATTTTGGTTTTCTATTATACATCACTTCATATGGTGTCTTATTTATAATGCTGGACCATGTTCTATTTTGTGTGTAATTTGAATAATGTAAGGCTTCTGACCAGAATTGTTTGCTTAAGCCAGCATCTTCTAATGTGCATCTAATCATGGTTTGTAATGTGGAATTTTTTCTCTCTGCAATCCCGTTTTGGAACGGAGAAAATGGACTAGATGTGTAATGTAACATTCCTTTGTCTTTTAACCATTGTGAGAATTCTTTAGACATGAATTCGCATCCTCTGTCTGTCATAATTTGTTTTATTTTGATGTTGTGTTGTGTTTCTATGCGTTTGTAAAATTCTTTAAATTTTTGAAATGTTTCATCTTTGTGTTTTAATGTGTAAACAAATCCATAGCGGCTATAATCGTCCACTATTGTCAGGAAGTAACGTTTCCTATAAGTGATTGATGGAGTTAATGGACCAACTAAGTCCATGTGTACTAAATCAAAAATTTTGTTAGTTGATCTGGTAGATTTTCTTGGCCTGGGACTAGTTTTTATTTTTGTAGATTTACATACTGAGCATTCCAGATAATTTTCACAATTTTTTATTTTAACACCTTCTGCGTGTTCAGTCATTTTTTGCACTACAGGAAAACTGGCATGTCCTAACTTCCTATGCAATATGTGAGCACACTCATCATGAATTGGTTTACCTATCTTTGGCTTCTTATCGTTGTGTGCATCTGTGTGATTATGAGATATTTTACATTCATCATTGTCACTGTTGCTAACATTCTCATCATCTATTTCAATACAATCTTCCATATTTGAATCAATGTTATGTAACCATTTTTCTTTTGTTATTAGGTAAGGTAGTCCTCCCTTAGTCACCACAGTGCCTACATTTATTTTATCCTTTTCCAAAGTTGCTTTTCCTTTTGAAAAGACAATGTTAATGTCAGAATCTCTGCTTAGTTTTATGGCACTTAATATGTTATGAGGTATTTCAGGTATTAGTAATACCCCCTCTATTTTTCCTAAACCAGGCAAGTTTACATTTCCTCTACCTAATACTTGAACCTTTTCTTGGTTAGCTACCTTAATTACAAATTTATCTTCTGCAAATGAAGACAATATACTTTTGTTATTAGTGGTGTGATTAGTTGCTCCAGAATCAATAAGCCAATTATTGTCCTCACTTTGTTGTGTGTTAGTGTTGTCTTGTTTATTTAATCCATTCAGTGAACCAGACTTTCTATCCTTTGAATTGTCTCTGCCCCCTCTATTCTCTCTGTGATTTGGTGGGCTCCTATATCTATGCCTTTCTATGGAAGGCTGTCTATAATCGTATTTGTTTCTGTATTCTGATCTATATCTTTCTTTTAAGAATTTTGGGCAATCTCTTCTATTGTGTTCCCTGGATCCACAATTATGACATTTAAATGTTCCACTATATTTTTCTTGGAAAGCTACTTTCTTATATGGTTTATGTTCTGTGTGATTGTTAGAACGATTCCTTCTAGAATTATCTTCTGTTATCAATTTGTTAGATAGACTTTCTATGGATAAATACCCTAGATTGATTGTGTCTAAATGTGACATAAAATTGTCCCATGATGGATCAAGTGAGTTGATAATAAAACACTTTTCATTGTTTGGTCTGAAATCACCTCCCCCCTCAAGTGCAGTTCAGCTCTTATTTTGTTCAAAGATATTAAATGTTCACTTATGGAACCCCTGGTTTTATCCTAGATGAAAAGAAGTCTTTAGATATCCTTGTGGTGGTAGCTACACTGTCACTGTGATACAAATTAAACATGCATTGAATAATTTCTGAAACAGTCAAATTTGGCTTAATGCTGTGATACATTGCAGGAGACACACTAGATATTATTAAGAAAAAAGCTCTATGGTGTAAACAATCTATTTTTAGTGTCCAAGGTCTTTTTGGGGGACTAGTGATAAAAAACAG